TAACTAATTAGTACATTCAAGAGAACATGAGTCCACTTCCGTTCAGTGAGATGCAGAAGAAGATGGTATGGATAAGGAGCCTCCATTCTTCATAGTGCTATAAGGTGGTCTGTACTTCTAGTTTGTCATGTATGCCTTTGGATTATCCATCCTTTATGAGCACTAGATGACCAGTTGCGCCCATGGCGCAAAGACCGAAAGCAAGCCAACTATTGAAAGAGTGTGCATCAAAATATGTAGACACAGAAGAAAATATATGGAAATAAGTACGAATTGATGATAGATAGATGGTTGCTGATGATACATGTTTCCTAAGAAGCTTACGAATGATCATTTACAATATTATGAGCAAGGCATGTAGATAGGCAAAGCTACGTTAGACGGATGTATCGCTGGATGTTTAGAACGATTTCTTTGAGGCAAGTCTTCATAGCTGTTGTTCTTCATGGCCTGCATTGCTCAAAGCAGAAATTTCTTCAATATCATCGCTCAAGCTCCAATAATACTTGTTTGTTTTCTGTATAACGGCTTCTGATTGTAACCTTATATCGTTAAGACGATCAATAACATATCTTATCTGTGATAAAATATGTTTCAGATTGTTGGCTTTGGGTGTTGATCTTGCTGTGCAGTTTGTATCTATTATGCGGTAAAGTTCCTTCACTTATTTAGACTACTTGAGAGCTTCAGTTGCCGGTCGATCTTCAACTTCTTTGAGTTTACCGTACACGTAGATGGATATTGATTTCCTTGAAAGTCAGTTATCCAGTTGGTGCTTTGATGGATAGTTAATGGTTGCGTCAAGACCAACCGTCCTTGCCTTCTATGTTGACTACTCTGCGTTTGGAAGGCCAAGCTATTGCATCATAGCATCCAGAAGGTCCTTTGTTGGGATCCTGACTTTTTCCATTGCGGCTGACTGATGATAGTGAAGAAGATACATTTGAGCGAGATACACAATGTTCATAGTAACTGAATGATATGTGCTGGCTTAGCTATTTCTTTGAGAATAGCAGGGGCTGAGCTTTGAGCTTGCCTAAACTGTAGAGTATACATGTTTTACTATTTGTCAGGCAACAAGAAAACAAGGGATTAATAGGTGTGGCATATGTGCATGGTTAGCAGAAAACAAATTTCATTTTCTCATTCTTGATGTTACAGCGTTTATGAGATCAGGTTATTGAAGCAAATATAAGGTACAATCATTCTTTTCTTTAAACATAAGGTACAATCACTTGTTTCTTTAAATGTAAATATCAGGTTATGAAAACAGGGGATCAACATGTATTCATTTTCTCACTCTTGATGTTGTAGTATTTATGAGATCGGGTTATGGGAAGCAAATATAGGGTACAATCATTCTCTTTTTTAAATATAAGGTACAACCATTCTTTTCTTTAAATATAAATAGATGACCCGTTGCGCCCCTGGCGCAAAAAGCGTATTCAAAGCATGAAATGTGCAAGCAATAATGGTCCAAAGACTGATAATGAAATCTTCGAAAGAATTTGAACACAACGAAGGTTGATACTTAGCATTTTCATACAAAGCAATGCATATTGCACTGCATTACAATCCATACAAAGTTATGAAAGCGGCCTTAAGGTTATTTATCATGCAACTGGGCCTTGGCAACCTGGTTCCGGACAGCATCTGCAACCTGGTTCCAGACAGCATCTTCTTCGACACAGAATGCAAACTCTTCATCCCTTTCTATGCTTCAGATGTTATCCAACAGAACATCGACAACCTGCACATTTAAGTTGAACTTCTTGTATATGGCAAAAGCCTCCTCATATAGTTGTGCTTCAACTGCTACTTCTCCAATGGCAGGACCATCAAAGTTGTCTAGTCAGTTAACATACTCCATGACCCTAGATGAGTCCGCCTTGATGGCTATCAAGATGAGCAGATTCTGAAGATTGAAGTTTCCACTGAACGCGGAATTCTGAAGGCAAGAAGTTCGATCGGTTCATGAGGGAGGTCAGCTGTCATGAAAGCCTTAACAGCAGCAGAAACTTGCTCAGGACTCTTGCTTTCGGGCAATGCAGTAGAAACCACTTGGTCAATGAACTGCCTTCTATATTCGTTATCACGCTGTAGAACTTTATCCCACAGATCGCCGTCCATTCTTTCAACCACATACCTGGAAATTAAAATCACATGATTTGAGCATGTAAGCAGACGCCCAATGGATATAAAGATTCGGAATATCGACAAGGCATCAGAAGGGAAAAACAAATTTACATACCTAGCTTGGAGCTTGAACAGCAAGTTCTTGTTGGTAACATTGACAAGTTCTTCATCGCACTGTCCACGTCTGTAAGCAACAACAGCAAGAGTAGGATCCCTCTTTTCACAGTATTTACCCACCACACGGGAGTCCTAGAACGGGTTGGTAGTAAGGAAATGCTCAGGATTGCTGTTGCTGTCAATGATTATTAGAGCATTGTGGACATGCACATCTTGGCTACCCTCGCTCACTAAGTGCTCCAAAAATTGTGTAAGTAAACGTAGACGGTTCCTGATCAAAATATTAAACAAATAAGACCAAAAGAAAAAGCATGTGCGCATGTGTGTACAGGACAAGGGCTCAGAATCAATCAATCAAACCTCTTCTCGCATTCATCAACCAGTGGCTCGACAGGAAGAAGAGAACGAACAGATAAAATCAAACCCTTAATGAAATCTTCCGTGCACTCGTCATCAAGTAACTGCCCCACTACCAACGGAGCATTTCCAGGGTTCACCTACAATACAGAGAAAAAAGCAAATTAGACATTCATATACTCGACATATTAGAAGAATGATACTCAAATAAAACTAAAATTTATGAGAGTTACAGAGTTACATACCTTCTGTAAATTTATGAGAGTTACAGAGATACCGGAGCATATTGTTTGTGTACAGATAGTGAGTAATCTGGAACAAAACCAAAGCGATCGCAGACAATTATGAGTGGTTGGGCATCAGGTAGTTTTGCTTCCGTCAGAAAGTTCTTTGTCTTCTCAGCATCGTAAAAGTTAGACTCTCTTGTGACTCGCTCAACTTCTTTAATCTGTCCAGTCCTTGCAGCTGATTCTATATAATTGAAATGGATATCTGGATCCTCGCTGTTTCCATGTGGTGAAGTCAACTATTAAAGTGTGACACAGTAAGTAAAGGGCAAACAGAACATATCAAGTTATCTATATCAGGCATAAGTACCTTCAGCTCAAATAGGACCCTAAGAAGTAGAGCCCCTCGTATGATTTAAATTGTTCGAACAGTGTAATACAAGCATCAACTCCAAGCTGCTCACAGATTCTTTGGTGGCCTACAGATGAATTTGATAATTAGAACAAATAGAGGGGGGAGGGGGTGGGGGGAGCAGTAATGAGAAAGAGAAGGTAACTGTGCAGGCTACCTGCACAACAATTTGAAGATTTCCTCTCAGGTTGACCAGTAGAAGGTCCTTCATGCATTCTAATGCCCATTCTTTAGAAAGGGTTCCAAAGAACTCAACGAGTGCCTGTGCAAGAAAGTAGTCAGTGGATCGGAAAAAAAAATAGACTGCTAGCCAATGATAACTAAAAACAACATTTAACAGTACAAAAGCACTATACCTGCTTTGAGTATATAAGGATCTTGTCAAAGTCCCTCCTCTCAGCGAAAGCGGTGACGACTTTAGGGGTTGCCATAGCCTTTATGTATATTTTTAACGCCAGATCATTGTCTACCATCTGCAATAAGATACCACTGAGAGAACATTCCAGACACAATAGTAAACAAAATTAATAGAAACACGGCTATATCTTATGGCTCTATGCAATCAAGAAACATGGCAGAACGAAATTTTACCTTTACAAGATCTCCAAGCTCTTCACTGCACTCCAACTTGTCTTCCGCCAACCAATTTTCCAAAAGGTTCTTCTTGTTCTGATTGACAATAAGTCAAGATAACTCAAGGGATTCGTAAGCATTGAGCTTCCCTCGAGTAAGCAATGTGCCAAAGTACTGCACCAGTGGAGGTGTTTGTCCATCTTGAACAGGAACACTCTGCATTTGAAGCACAAAAATAGCAAATGAGCCAAGCAGAAGAACCTACAATTAAAGCAGATTATACAAGGGTAATATCTAAAATAAGATGACACTTTTTGGCCGTTGTGTTTCGCTTAACAAATAATACCTTCAAACAAAGAATAGAGATGTTAACACTATCAGCAGATTAACTGTATATAGATAATATGTCTTTGTAGGTGTACAGTTCCTAGTCCTAACCCAATAATACTTCCAGGAAATGATAACTACGAAGAGTTTGGTGTTGTAAAAAAAGTAGCAAAGCCCTAACTTTAATAATCCCTTTGTTCAAAATTTATATGATAAGCACACTTCATAAGTCAAGCAGTTCAGTCTGAAGAATGGCTGGCTCGTTAAGAAGGAATACGAATGGTATCCGATGTCAAAATTTAACCTCCAACTTGCAAGTAAATCAATATGAATGGAGAACAAGAGTAGCATAAAAAATAACTCTGGTTCAAGAGTACACCAAGAAAAACAGCAGACATCTTTTGTGGATGCATATGAGCAAGCCTAACAATTACGGCTTACCACAGCATGTATTTCTCCAGGCAAATATCTCCAGGCAAATAGGATAAATGACAAGCAGTTGAAGTACCATGCTGTGGTAAAGATCCATAATAAAAGCCCACCTCTTCAAACAAAAGAAGATGCACACATCCCCTGCCGACGCCGCGTCAGCCGCTCCCCCGCCTCAGCCAGCCACCGTTCCCCCACCTCGAGCCAGTCGCCGCCATGAAGCCATGGATCATACGCGGGAGGAGGAGAAACGCGAAGGGGAGGAGCGGTGGTGGCGGCCGCCTCCCCTCATCTTCTTCTTCCTACCATGAGACCCTGCGTCGCTGCTCCTCCCTACCATTCCTCCCCACGGACGTATTCCGGCCGGCAGAGGCGCGAGATCGACGGGGAACGCGAGCTCTCCTCACTGGTGATAGCGGCCTGGCGCCTTTCCCCTTGGACATTTACAGAAACAGCTAGTGTGCACAAAAAAATGTGGCAAATCAGGGGCTGTTGCAGATCAGGGGCTCGGCTATGAAGAGATGCTCAAGACTGCCATACCTAGGGATGTTGGCGGTGCGCTGGTGCCGAGGATATCCAGCCCCGATGCGCTGCAGAGACAACTCAAACAGCGAATCCATGGTTGGCTGCTCCAAACCTGCGCAACCCCCAAATCCTCGATATTGGAAGGAACGGCGTCGCCTATTGCCGGCCTCATCCATCTTCTTCCCACCCCACCGCAACGGGAGCGCTGCCACCGTTGCTTCTTCTCACCACAACAGTCATCCTCATCCACTCCTGCTCCTCCACACCACAGATGCCCGTCGCTGTCGCTGCTCACCCCGACGACCCGACCGCCCTTGTCGAGCTGCGGATGGCAGGTGGAGGAGGAGGAGGAGAGGCAGCGGCGTCACGGGGGAGAACGATGAGGAAGAGGGGGAGAGGCGGCGGCGGCTGGGAGGGAGGTAAAGGAGGAGGAAGGGTTTTTACCGAGCGTTCACTCGGACCCCTCCTCTCTCACGCAGGGCGCTGGCGAAACGCCCTGCAACGCTGGGTCCAGCGGGAAAATGAGGTCCACCAACCATACACACAAAAGCAAAACAAAAATGTAAAGAAGGATAGACGGGTGAGCCTTTGACAGCACCATAAAAAGTGCCATCGCAGTAGATCGAGCGAACCAGATGGACCGGCGGACGCAGATGGCCCAGAATGGCGGGTACTCTAGCGTGGTTTATATGTTCAATTGTCCTAGTTCTTACTCCCTCCGTTCCAAAATAGATGACCCTACTTTGTACTAAAGTTAGTACAAAGTTGGGTCATCTATTTTGGAACGGAGGGAG